CATTTATTGTTCTCGGGTTTTTTTTTTTAATTGGGCTACAGTTACATTCTATTTTTGAGTCCTACTAGTGGTTATGGATTGGGCTGCTAATCACCATATCAGCAGTTTGAAACTACCAGCCACTCAACATAGGGAGAAAAAGGCTTTCTATTCCTGTAAAGAGTTGAAGTCTTGGAAGCCCACAGGTACAATTCTACACTCTCCTGTAGGGTTGCTGTGAGTTAGAATTAACTCGATGGCAATTCAGTTGTTTTTGGGATGTGCCAGGTATATTGTTTTCTGAAATACTTTTTAGGAATCTGTTCTATTTCACTGAAAACAATCTAGGGAGATGACCAAATTTGTCCAACAGCACAAACATTCTCCTTGGTTTTATCCCACCTGTCAGGGCCAATTTACATCATTATACTTTGCCTGAATACTGTGGCTTTCAACCAGTTCATTCTGCTTTGTCTCCTTCCCTGCAGAATTTGCATTACCCCCCATATAGACGGAATTGGAATCAACATTTTCACAAGATCCAGAAAACCCACCTGATGAATACGTCCTTTGGGAGCACCGCTCATTATGGTCTCTCTCCCTCAAAATTCCTTCAGCACTTTGATCTTTTTTACTCACTTTCATTTGTTCAATTTTTTTGGATGTTTATGATGTTCAAGAAAGGAGCCTTGGTGGTGTAGTGGGCTAAACACTGAGCCGCTATCTGCAGAGTTAGAGCCCACTATGTGCTCTGCAGGATAAAGATGGGGCTGCTCTTGTAAAGATTTTTTTTTTTTAAGTCTAAGAAACCCTCAAGGGGCAGGCCCCCTCTGTTCTACGTGGTCCCCATGATTCAGAATGGACCCGATGGCAGTGATGTTTGAAAGGAACCCCAGTGGTGCAGAGGGTTAGGTCTTGAGTTGCTAATTGGAAGTTTGGCAGTTCAAACTCACCAGCAGCTTCACAAAAGATGAGGCTGTCAGCTCCCATAAAGATTTAGTCTTGGAAACCTGTATAGGGTTGCTATGAGTTGGAATCAACTTGGTGGTACTGGGTTTGGTTTTAGGATCTATTCAAGGCACTTTTATAGGCTCTGAGGATAAATCACTGAACAAAACAGATAAAAATCTCTGTCCTTGTGACACTTACATCCTGGTGGCAGCAAAATAACTTTGTAAAACAAACACAATAAAGTAATTACACAGTGTGTTAGCAGACGATAAGTGCTGTGAGAAGAAAAAAAAAAGCTTGGTCAGGGAGAATGAGCTTGCAGGGTGGAGGTAAGGTGGATTGTAATGCGCTGGGTGGTCAGGGCAGGCCTCATTGAGAAGGTGACCTTTGATCAAGGACTTGCAGGAGGCAAGTGAGTTACTCACTGAGTTAATTGTGCTTGGTAGGGAGCAGGTTGGGGGAGAGGTGAGCTTTAGGCCCAGCCAGGATTGCTTCTTGGCTGCTCATGCAATGCCTGCTTTTCTCAATGAAATTGTGAACTTGCTGAAACCAGGGAGATTTGCATTTTTTTTTGCATTGTCTTCAGTGCCCTGCACACTATTTTGTAGGTAGTAAGTGATCAGACGCTGAGGAACACAGTTCTACTGACATACTGGGGTCACAATGAATTGTACTTGGCTAGCTGATAACTAAAGAGCCCTGGGAGGATAGTGGCTACATGTTGGGCTGTGATCTGCACATTCAGCAGTTCGAAGCCACCAGTCACTCTGAGGGAGAAAGATGGGGCTCTCTACTCCCACAAAGTTATAGGCTCGGAGACTCCCAAGGGCAGTTCTACCCTGTCATACAGGGTCACTGTGAGTTGGCATTGACTCAGTGGCAGTCAGTTTGGCTTTTGGCTTACATAATGGCTAGGTGATCATTTGTAAAGTATTTGGCAATTGCCAATTTATTGAATATAGTACACTAGTGACCTTTGCATTTATAATCATTTTGAAGCATTAACGATAAATCCCTGCATAAATACACCAACATGCACATTTGCTTTAATGAGTTTTCTCTTTAAAGGAAGTAGCCATAGGCTGTGAGCAAGGGAAAAGTAACACTGCCCCCTGCTGGGAAGACAGTACTAGATGTTTTCAGCCTAATTACTGTCAGTTTAAGATACCTTTAAGTACACTGTAACTCATTAGTACCTACAAACTAACCCCAAATACCTAGGTTAGTATTTTGATACAATTTGTTTATGCACCATCAAAGAAAACTAAGTTTCTCCAAAAAGGAGAGGGTAAAAGCTTGTTGATTTAATGAATGTTCTCTCTTTCACCTCCCCTGGGTCCCTGGTGACATAGTGGGACACTACAGCATTGAGCTACTAACAGCAAGGTCAGAGCTTTGAAAGCGCTAGCAGCTCCAAGGAAGAGAGATGAGGCTTTCCACTCAGTAAAGAATTACAGTCTATCATGTCCTATGGGTTGTTGGGAGTCAGTTACAGATGGCAATTAAGTTTCTCTCGGTCTCTTTCACCTCTCTAGGAGCTAATATCCATTGCAATACACAGAACCCACAGACAAAAATTCATGATTAAAGAGTTTATTAAGAAAGTTAACAGGTTGTAATGTCAGTGAGAAATGCTCAGGATAGTTATTTATCAGGATATGTTACACAGTTCTTTCAGGTCTGTGCCCAAAGGGGCACATCACTCAGCTGTAAGCCTCAACCTAAGGGCATTCAGCTCAAGCTCTGTGGGTCAGCAGACCCAGCTCCCTAAATTAAAGGCCCAAAGGCACTCCACTCCAGTAGATACTCAACCCAAAGATATTCAGCTCCACTTCCACAGGTCAGCAAGCCCAGCTTCCCCAATTAAACGCCCAGAGGCACCCCACTCCACAAGCCAGTCTTGGCACAAAAGCACTCAGCTTTACTTGCTCTGTGGATTGGGAAGTCCACCACTCTATTCTATGCTCTGGCTCCTGGTTCTGCTGCTGCTCCTCTGATGTAATAGCTGTCTTCTGGATCTACGAGGTTCACTGTGCAAGGACCTCAGGTTCAGAGGACATGCCATTGCTAGAGGACATGCCATTGCTGGCTTTTACTGGTAATGAACTCCTCTCTCCTGCTTTTCAGAGGACTCACACGCAGAAGGATGGCATTCCAGGGAGTCCAGTCCCAATTACTCACAGGTGAAACATAGTATCTTCCCCCACCTTCTCACCAGACCCATGCAGGGAAAGGTGGTTAGGTGGGAGTTATAGACTGGCTAAAAGAGCCACAGCAAATAAACCACTGCTCCTACAAGAGTGAATGAAGTACGGTTATTTTCTTAATGAAACACAAAGTATCTAAGGGAGAAGGCTGTTAAGCAGTACTTCTGAAAAACATTTGAGCCAATCTGTAACCTAACAGACGGAGAAATTAAGCCCAGGAAACTTGGGATCAGTAGGCGTGCACCACAGGAGCTGTTTTGCAAATAGCCTATTTCAAGGGTCTGGCACTTGAACCTGAGAGACAATTTTTTATTACCTTGTGTAGAAAACAGATTTATTCAAAACGAATTTATTGACAGACTATTAAGTCAACAGAGTTGCAATTGATTCGATGGCAGTGAGGTTTTGATAGCAGGTAGTGACCGAATCTGTGACACAGACCAGGCAAACTGGCAGGAAGCTAGGTGCTCATACCTCCACGAAGGCTTTCCAATGAAAGGGTCTGGTTAAGACACCACTGTTGCCACCTCTGGTCCTTGACACCACAGGTCTCTGCTGCTGCTGCGGGAGGTGGGGGTAGGGGTGGGACATAAATTATACTTTGCATTGGGCAAATCTGCTGCACACCTCTTTAAAGTGTTGAAGAACAGTGGCATTACTTTTTCAGTTGCTTCATATACATGTGAAAGTTATACAGTGAAATAGTACGACTGAAGAAGAATTGCTACATTTGAATTACGATGCTGGTGAAGAACAGTAAATGAACCATGCACTGCCACAAGAACAAACAAATCTGCCTTAGAAGTACAGCCAGAATACTCCTTGGGAATGAGGGCGGCAAGACTTTGTGTCATGTACTTTGACCATGCAATCAGGAGAGACGACCCCCTGGGAAAGAACATCATTCTTGGAAAAGTAGGTGGTCAGAAAAATAGAAAACAAAACACTGTCATCTAGATGGGTTAGCACAGTGACTGCCACAGTGGTCTCAAACATAGTCATTTTCCAGGATGGTGCAGGACTGGGCAGTGTTTCCTTCTGTGTGAGTCAAAACAGACTTCTCCGCATCGAACAATAACAATATAAACTTGTCTCAAAGCAAGAATCTGGACTTCATGTCTAATCTTGAAGATAATGCTTTTCAACCCTTTAAAACAAGCCTACCATCTCATGGAAATTCTAAAATCTCACTTATCACCCTTCTGATTCTAATTTATTCTACCAGGGAAGTGTGTTTTCCAACTGAGGTGGCAGGAAATAGGCGATTTCCTACATATTGACCGTTGCCTCGGTTACTTAGGTAGGATGCTATGATGCCAAAGTCTGGGGCCCCAAACCTTATATGGCACTTACATAGATGGCAAACATATATTACAAATATAGCATTTAATCGGAAGGTTAGTAGTTATGTAGTTAAGCAGTACTTAAAGCGTCAAGGTGACAGTTGTCTTTTCCTTGCAAGATCTTGGGAATATTGTTTAAGCTCTCTGGGTCTCTCCCTCCAAATCCATGAAATCATTTTATGTGGATGTTGTAAGGATAAATGCATAATACTGGCGAAATACTGAAGAATGTCCAGCGCAACCAAGAGCTTGCCAAGCTTTTACTTTCTGGAACGCTAGCTTTATTTGGTTACTCCTTCCGGCTTCCAAACACAAACTTACATTGTGTCTCTAGACATTTTGACACGATCCCTTAAAATGGTCCCTCACACGCCTGCTGCCGCAAAGCACCGCCTCTTTACGACAGCGTACGACGCTAAGCGTGACCAAGTTTTCGTCCGGGGCGGGCCCAGATCGCGCGGACCAATCACATCGTCTCCAAGAGATGACGTCAGGCTGTGCCTGTGCATGCGCAGGGCGGGGAGACCTTGGCGAGGTGGTGGAGGCTGGCTGCGGAGGTGAAAGCGCTGGCGGAAAGGAAAGTACGGGGGCAAAATGCAGAGCTGGAGTCGCATGTACTGCTCCTTGGCCAAGGTGAGGGCCGACTGGGGGGTCGTGCAGAGCCCAGGTATTAGGAGGTCCGCGCGTTCTGGAATGCGGACTAACGCTGGTGGTGGTAGGAGAGGCCGGCGGCCTGTCTGGACCACCGCGGCCGCGGCTGGGAGGACGCGGCCCACTTTTCGGGGGCTGCAGGCCGGGAGGGGCCGTGGAGCGTCACCTTGGCCAGCAGTCCCACACTTCGCCCCCGAGCCCGAGCCGACGGGCAGGCCAGTCGCACAAAAGCCTCTCCACCTTGGTGAAGGACGTGTAAGCCACTCTGGGGTCCGTACGGTCTGGCCCGCTGTACGCCCTGCTCTTTTCCTAGCCTAAATCCCGGCCCTGGAGTGACCTGAATCCGCTGTGAGTGGGTAACCTAGCGGGCCACTGCTGGAAAGGCCCAGACACAGTGAACCCCGACAGATGGCCCCAGGAATTCATTAAGACCCCTTCAGTGCGCGCGATTTCAGACTTAGTCCATTGCCAGCCTCAGGTGTTTTTAGAGACTGGTGTTTTTCATTGCATCGGGTTATTATCAGGACAGCTTTCCCCTTTCATCAGGAAGTTAACGGCAGCTGCCCCGAGAGGGTGAAGGCTTTATGAATAACGTACATATCAAGTCTCATTGCTTCAAAAAATGAGATAAACCTTAGCATGCTGAGATATTATGCTCTAAGTGCGACGGGGAACTGAGACTAAAACTCAGGTCCGACGCAAGAGTTGCGTTGGGATCAAGAACGTTGCTACATCAGTGTGTTTTGTCATTGCCTCCCATTTGCCAGCTGTGATCAGATCTTAAGGTTTCTCCTGCTATCTGAAGCGCTATGACACCATTTGGTAAAACAAAGAAGCAATTAAATTTAATTACCATTAATTTATATGAGAATTTTTTTTAGCATTCCCAGACTAAAATAGGCCCCACAGAACACATAAGGCCTGAAGTCACACTGAAGTGCAGTGTGACACAGTTCATAGCTAGGGCAGCTTGTTGCTGAGACACTGAGTGTAGCTCCCCCATGGAGCGTGGAGAGGACGCTGGCTGCTTGGTGGCCGTTGCTGCACTCCAGTTTTATACCTTTCACCATTTTCTATAAATGCTAATATCCTCTTCAGAATTGGTTACTGTATTTAATTTTTTTTAAAACAAGGTGAGTAGAAAGTAGTACTAATGTGGGTAGACAAAAGGTAACTACTGTAGGTATTTGGATATGAGTAGATAGTGTCGCGTGAACTCTCAAATAGCAGGACATAGCTGTATTTTGCTTCTCTGCTTCACTGTTCTTGAGGAATAGTTGTCTCTGACATTTAGAGATTGCTGTAGAGGCTATCATAACCCTATAGGACAGAGCAGAACTGGCCTGTGGGCTTCCAAGATGGCAAATCTTTTAACAGGAGTCGACAGCCTCATCCTCCCACAGAGCATTTGGGGGATTTGTACCACTGATCTGGCTCGCAGCTCAGGCTTATTCTTCCACACCACCAGAGCTTAAGGGTCTCTGTGAGTTGGAATTGAAGAATTGACTCTGGTCATGAGCTTGGTTTTAGATTGCATTGTCTAGTTTCCTGTTCCTAGTTGAGGGCTGCTTGTGTACTGGTTATGCCCTGGGCTGCGATCTCCAAGGTCAGCAGTTTGAAAACATACCACCAGCTGCTCCGAGGGTGAACATTGGGGCTTTCTATTCCAGGAAAGAATTACAGTCTAGGAAACTCGCTGGGGCAGCTCCACCCTGGACTGTAGGATCGCTATGGGTCAGAACCAACTCTGGCAGGGAGTTTGGCCCTAGGTTTCCTTGTCTAATTTTCTCTTCTAGTTGATGGCTGGGGAACATATTCATGTTCTTGGTAAATGTGCAGTGTACAGGCATGGGAGATTAGGATTAGGAATCAATAACTACAAGTATAAAAGGATTTTCGAGGTAGATTATTCTGGCAACTAAGCTAGAACTTTAAGAGCTTTGATTATGACATTAAAATGAGCACTGGCCCTAAAGAATTAGCCATGCTTGGTGGAGTGAAGGGAACCCCGAGCTTGGCGCACTCTGCCCCTCTCTCACCTCTCGTGAGGATTCGGAGACTTCCAGCTGGGACCAGAGGCTTGGGGGAACATGTGGAATGCCAATGCCAGGCAGCTGAGGCCAAATCCATACCCCCCCAACATGTACCCTGGAGGTGCCAACCCTGCCTATCCACCACCTGTGAACCCTGCCTGCCCTCCAGGCCCCTTTCCCACTTGCCCAGGAGTGCCCCAGGGGAACCCAGCTGTTGCCCCTCAACCTGTACCACAACCAGGGTCTGGGATACCAACCCCCAGGGCTCTACCCACCTCCTGGCCCCTACCCTCCTCCATACCCACCACCTGTTCCTGTGATGCCTCCTATGAATCCCTTGGCTCCTGGCATGGTAGGACCAGAATGGTGAAGGAAAAGAAGATTCTGAAGAAAACCCATAAAAAGATGCAGAAGAAACAGAAGCAAGGCAAGCATTCCTCCTCCTCCTCTTCCAGCAGTGACTGACTGAATGCGGGGCCTGCATGATGTTTCAGCTTCCACGTTGTACTGCGGGAAGTTAGCCCCTGTGCTCTTGCCTGAACCGCCACCCGCTGCGCAGCCCTACCGGCTTTGGGAAGTGGGAAGAGAATCGCCATGGACTTTTTTTTTGCTTCCTGGGTAGATTTCTATTTTTCCCACTGATGAGTTTTTTCAGGGAAATTGATTTTTGAAGATGGTGAACCCTTTCACCTAAATGCTGAAGACAAAGTTAAGATCTGCAAAGTGATTTTTAAAAAAGTGAAGCTTTGTTTGGTAATAGTGGTGGTTGGGGTGTCTTGGAAATTGAATTATATAAATACGTACTGCACGCCTTAAAAAAAATTAGCCATGCTTTCTGAAAACATAGCAAAATGTACACCATTTAGTTCATTCCGTATTAGGACAAGTCTGATGTGGTTTGTTGAATATACATTAAAAGTGTGACAAGTAACTCCGTCTTATATATGTACATCTTAAAAAACACCTCTATAGAGGATATTTTACTTCAGCTGGGGTCTGTTTATCAAGATGGGGAGAGAGAAGACCATTCAGTTGCTCCCATGAAACCTTGTGTTAAGGTCTCACCAAATTAACTGACATTCCTACAAGAAACAGAACAGTGGAAATTCAAGTTGAGATATGGGTGAGAGGAATATGAATATCTTAGAGGAGGCAGTTAGATTTCTATTGGTGGGTAATCTGCGTGAAGCAATCTCACATCCATAAAAACCACTTAACAATACTCAAATAGAACTCAAAGGGAGAATAGGTTCCCTATTTGATTTCTAATTGGACACTTTTGACCTGGTTTCTAACCAGCTATTGGTGACCCAGGCCATGTGCTATAGACTATTAAGCCTCTAGACCAGCGGTTCTCAACCTATGGGCCACGACCCCTTTGGGGGTTGAACGACCATTTCACAAGGGTCATCCGATTCATAACAGTAGAAAACTTAGTTATGAAGTAGCAACAAAATAATTTTATGGTTGGGAGGTCACCACAACATGAAGAACTGTATTAAAGGGTCGCAGAATTAGGAAGGTTGAGAACCACTGCTCTAGACATTGCCCTTTCCTGGTGCACAGCATCATTCATAGGCCATACCAGAAGGATTTGATGTGGAAACCCTACTGAGTGAACTGGGCTTTACCTCAAACTCACCTGTAGCTAATTTAAGGAACCAAGGTACTCGCTTGGACTTAAGACTGAAGTGCCCTACTGTGAGCTGAAGTATATGACTGCTATGGGATTCTCAGTTTGACTTTGTTTCGGATCCCTTGCTCTGAGAATACTCAACGAAAGGTGGCTGGGGACTACCATATATTCACTATTTTAATACCTTTCTTATGACATGTATTAATCTGGGAGGCATGCCTCTGTCTTAGTGAATTAGTGTTATTTAAAGCTTTGCTCTGCCATCAACCCCCATTATTTGTGTACACAGTGTACAGTCACTGAGTTTTATCTGTACAAGTCAACAATTCATGTATTGCTGCCTGAAACCTGCCTAACTTGTGTAATTTCCTTTTCTCAGTAGTGTTTTAAATTCCGTACCACTGGCTAAATTAATGACATTATCAAAAGACTTAGCTATATCTTCCAAGGGAATGATATATAATGTTCTCTGTCATTAAATAGGAGGTCTGATGGAATGCTTGTTACATGTTGGAGAAAAATGGGGCTTTCTACTCCCATAAAGTGTTACACTGCGGTAGTGGATGGACTTTGGCCTCTGCTCAAGCCCTCCCTCAGTGTAAGAGCACTTTGTCCTCACAACCTGGCATTCTGTGATGGAAGAAGCACACCAGCGTGTGTGATAATGAGGTGTCAATGGGATCGGGTAACACGCATCAGAAGATCCAAAACAAAAAACATTGTTGAGAATGAGGAGGGAGAGTCAGAGCAGAGACCCAAAACCCATCTGTAGGCTATGGGACATCCACGCACACAAGGGTCACAAGGAAGGGATGAGTGAGTCCACCAGTGCGCAACATAGCACTAATGAAACAACAATATTCTCCTGGTTCTTTGAGGCTTCCTTGCCCCCCACTATCATGAGCCCAGTCCTGCCTTTCACTTTGGGCTAGACCAGAGCATGTGCACAGGTACAGATAAGAGATTAGAGCTCACGAAACAACCGAATCCAGGAACAGGAATGGAAGTAATGAAACCAGGAGGAAGGGGAGAAAGGGGTTATGTGTGGATCATTGCACCACCACCCTACCCTCCAGGGGGACGATAATAGAAACCGTGGGAGAAGAAAGGCAGCAGTTGTAAGATATCAAAATAATAATTTATAATTTTTCAAGGAGTCACAAGGGTGTAGGGGTGGGTTGGGTGGGGGAAGCTGATACCAAGGTCTCAATAGAAAGTAAATGTTTAGAAAATGATGGCAACATATGTACAAATATGCTTGATAGATGTATGGATCATTCTAAGAGTTGTAAGAGCCCTCAATAAAATGATCTTTTAATTTAAAAAAGTTAGTTTCAGAAACACACAGGCAGTTTTATCTTGTCCTCTAGGGTCGGCATGCATCCGTATCAACTTGATGGCAGTGAGTTTGGTTTTTTAGTTGTGATAATGTCTCTAAAGTGAACCAGAGACGTATATAAACCACAGATACAGGAATGGATTTTGAGCTCCCACTTTATTCTAGCCCCAATCCAAGAATTAGTTGTTAGGCTGTGGCCCTGGTTGATGCTTGCCCTCACTAACCGGAGGTGGTGCTATAGCAAAGTGTGGCGAAGGAACCGCATGTTTCCTGACGATCACAAGGAATCAAGTCTGGGGGTCTTAAAGGCTTATCCTCAAACAAGCGGCCACCTATGAGGTGTCAACTAAATCCTCATGGAAGAAGCACACCAGGCTGTGTGATCCGAGGGTTGTAAAAAATAAAATTCGAATCTGACGTAGGGAATGACCTCAGCTTAAATTGTGACCACCTGTGTGACCGCAGAAGGCGGTGGATGACAGTGGGAGTCCGAACTTCATTTTCAGGGCCTACACGTAGATTAAACCACTCGTGAAGACCCTCTGCAGGTAAGTCCAGGGATATGAATCTAACCTTCTATCAGAGAGCATTGTAAAGTTGGTTGTGGCAGATGTAGTTAGAATGTTAAAATGTAATATTATCATTTGATCTCCTTTTTGGACAATTTTAAAGTTGTTTCAGGTTTTAATTTCTTTTTGATTGAGGTTTTTATATATTTTGTTTCATCATTGTTTGCTGCTGCTTTGTGTTCTGTCTGATTTCCTCTACATGAAATTCAGGATAGGTAGATCTAGATCTATAGAGACAGTCACTGACTTGATACTTAACCTAGGGGTTTGCCAGGGGAGGTTGGAGTTAACCACAATGTGTGCGAGAAGAAAATGTTCTGCATTTGATTGTGGTGATGGCTGCACACATATTCTTAATATGATTAAATTGTATGATGTGTGACATGTAAGCCAATAAAACTATTCTTTTAAAAGTGACATGGTGTGACACTGAAAGTTAAATGATTGTTTCTGTCAAAGAGGAGATATTGATAACGTAACTTCCAAGTTGCAGTGGGAGATAAGTAAACATTCAATGCTATTTAGATTTGCCTAAAATTTATTAATCTATAGTAGTCATGTGCTGAGTTCATAGTTTACTTAACAGAAGCTTTATTTTCTCTCCTAGAGAGGCCATTTCAGTCGAATATCTCATGGCCTCCAGGGAGTTTCTGCAGTGCCTTTGAGAACCTACGCAGATCAACCAAGTAAGTACTTAATTAGTGGAACAGGTTTTTCCCCTTATAATACTTGATAGTTCCTTGTGTGTAAATGAAGGGGGGGAAATGAATAGAATAACAACAATAACAAAAGAGTAAGAAAGAATAATCAGAATTCATGAATACCTTGTGTTTCCCAGGCAGTAAGCAAGATGAAGCTCTTGGGGACTCTATGGTCCAATGATGAGAGTAACAATACATGAGTGACAGATAAATATTTTGGGAGGTGATAAGCAATAGTTAAAACGGGGAATTGAGAGGTATCGGGAAGGTCTTTCCGAGGAGCTGCTCTGAGAACGAGGCCAAAGTAAGTCAGTGAGTGAGGTTATCTCAGTTAGAGGGAAGGACACTGTGAAGTGTCTGAATGGGGTTAGCTTGTGAGGTTTAAGGAATGCCAAAGACGGATGGGACCGGGGCAGTGGCCCTTAGAATGTCGAATCAGGGAAGTAGGCTGGGGTTAGATCATGGAGTGCTTTGTAAGTCAGGACCATGAGTTTGGAATTTACTCCAAGTGGGATGGGAAACTACTGAAGAAATTTGAGTAGAAGTATAAATATGAATGTCATGACTAGAAGGATGTACTTTGAAAGAAGGCTATTATCTTTTAAAAGTTTTTTTTAATATTTTTAAGTTTTCTGTGAAGGATGTATTTTATTTTTTAAATACTAAAAATGGAAGTGAATGAGCTTGTATTAAGGTATTTTAGCCTCTCAGGACAGGGATGGGCATCCCTGCATGGTGCAATTGGTTTGTGTGCTCAGCTGCTAACCGAAAGGCAGGAGAGTGAGCACCCAGAGGTGCCGTGGAAGGCGGACCTGGCATTTGACTTCAGGGATGAAAACCCTGCAGAGCACGCCTCTGCTTTGACGCCTGGAATCTCCACGAGTTGGAATTGGCTCGTTGGCAACTGGGGTGGTATTACTTAGCAAGGGTATACACACACACACACACACACACACACACATAAATTATTAGACATATTGCACTTATTTTTATGGGTTATAAATAAAACTGCATGTGATGTTTTAAAGTTTCATTATGGGAGCCCTTGGCTGGGGTAACTGTCAGCGGTCTCATGCTACATCAAAGCCAAGATAGTTGCCCAAGGATTTAGGAGGTGGTAGAGCTACTGAGCCTAGGTTTGCTTTATTTGGGATTTATCCTTCCTGCACTATATTATGCCTTCCTATATGAGGTCACTATGAATTGGAATCCACTTGATGGCAGTGAGTTGGATTTGGGGGGTTATAGGTTATACAGGAGCCCTGTTGTGTTGTCAGGTAAGCTTTGGATTGCTAAGCACAAAGTTGGCAGTTCAAACCCACCAGCCACTCTGGAAGGAGAACTGGGCTTTCTGCTCCTGTAAAGATTTATAGCCTCAGGAACCCTGTTTGAGCAATAGAGCAGAGTGTCTGCGAGTATTAAGCCTACTTGCTGCTCCTTCTTGTCAAACAGCTGCAGCAGCTGTCACAGGTGGAAAATCACATGGCCAGCAAGCAGCACATTCGTGGTTTTCAGGACAGCGTGGCCCCTGTAACTCCTGCGTCTCCCATTTATCTAGATTGTGCTTCTTCCTACGTTGGTAGTTTTGCAGGCCCGGTTGATGAACTCCCTCTTTGAGAGCTGGTCAAGACTAGGTCAGCCAGACTCAGTCATGGATGGTGTTGCAGATTCAACCCTCCTTCACTTTCAGAGGCCAGGGCTGCTGGGAGCGATCATGTTTGTTTGCAAGGATGAGCACTGGGGCACAGCACAGCTCTTCCTCCTCTACAACCCAGCCCGGTGCGGACCGGCTCTGGGAATCTCTCCTGACTGCGCTGTCAGTTACATAACAGAGTAATGATATTTTCAGAATAATTCCTCCCTTGTGGTATAGTTTCCCACTGTCCACCAGTATCTCACACGTGAAACACTGTGATTGTAGATTTGTGGCATTTAAATTAAAGGCCTAGGTCACTTCAGACCGAGATCTTGAATGTGCTTCACTGGTGACTCTTCTTCTGAAGGTCGTGGGAGTTCTTTCTGCTTCTCAGAGACTGGGGCTTTACAGAGGATAGCTTTGATGGAGGTGTGGTGTTTGTCTTTAAGCAGGCCATATCTCCAAGGAAACAAAGGGTAGTGACTTGGTTCACTGCCTCTCCTAAGGAGGAGACTCAGAATACATTCTGGTGGCATAGTGACCTATGCACAGGGCTGCTAGCCACAAGGTCTGGTTTGAACCCACCAGCTGCTCCACAGGAGAAGATGTGGCTGTCTACTACTGTGGAGATGGAAAGTCAGAGAAATCCTGTTCTGTGCTGTCCTAGAGGGTTGCTGTGAGTGGGAATCCACTCAGTGGTAGTGAATTTGTTTTTAATTCTGTTAAAACTCCCTCCAGTGTGGGATTATAACCACAGGCATAGAGACTAGAATTTGTACATTTGTATTACAATTATTCTATCCTGAAGGCTGCTGATCAAAGTTAAATATTGATATTTTGTCTTTATATGATAAATATCCAGAATAGTTAATTGAATGTTCTGGTTAACTATAAAAATTTAGCAATGTTCAGTTAATGTTAAAAAATATAGGGAAGCATATATTTTTCATATTTCTGTAATTAAGGATCTGGAAGGGAAACGGGGTCTTAAGTTTACTGAAAGCAGAAATATATTACACAAAATTACTTATGCAAACATCAGTGACTTAAGTCACTGTTGCTGCCGTCCTGTATAACAAAAGTTAAGTCCCTTGGCCAAGTTTGCACCATTAGAAAGTGGCACAGCTGAGATTTGCAGTCATGTGTGTCAGCTTCCAGAGCTCGGCCTCTCCCATCATTCAGGCTGTTTTCTAGAGGTTTAGTCACTAAATGCATGTCCGTTATCATTACATACTCTATAGGTCAATAGAATGAATGGTTAAACAAAATATAGTACACATAAACAGTGGAATATTACTTAACCATAAAGTGAAACAAAGTTTCATCCTGTTACATGCTGCATTCGACATAGATGAACATTGAAAACATGCCGAGTGAAATAAGCCAGTCAAAAGGATGAATATCCCACTTTACATAAAATTCCTAGATTGGGCAAGTAGGTGTAGGAGACTTGATGGCCTGTTGGATAAGTGTTGGACTACTGACCACAAAATTGGCAGTTCAAACCCACCAGCTGCTTCATAGGAAAAAGTTGAGGCTATCTGCTCCTGTAAAGATTTACAGCCGTGGATATGAGTCAGAATCGCTTCAGTGGCAGGGCGTCCAGAAATCAGGGTTTGGTAGTGCTCACTGGAGGTGGGCAAGAAGGATGGGAAGGACGTGGTTCTGTTCAGGGTGATGGTAAACATGATGAACATGTCATTAAATTATACAAGTGAAAATTGTTGAAATGGCTAATATTTTGTTCCACATATATTTCCTTAGACCAAACTTGTCAGGGGAGGGAGTCCCTAAGAAAACATCACAGGTCTGGTAGGCGCAATTGTACAGCGATAACAAGTAAAGATTATAGTAAAGTCATAGCATGAGAGATAGAGGAGATATTGAAATAGTGGAGTCACACACATTTCATGGTAACATGCTCACCTCAGCTCCACTTGGTGGTCCACATTGAGAAAGCCAGAGAGATGTTTATTGCTAACCAAGGTTTATATCTCTTTGGGGATGTGATTACAGGTAGCCACACACGTCACAGGAAGGGGCTGTACAATAGGCAATACAAGCAAAGGAGGGGGATATACAATAGGCATAAGTGTAACAGGAAGGGGATGAGCTAGGTGTGTACACATGCTAGGAAGGGGAGGGACTAGGAGTATACATGTGACAAGGGTGGGCCCAAGATTCATGATGGCGGCCTAACCTTGGTCACCCTTGAGTGGGCTTGACCTCCCTGGGCTCTCCTTCAGGGAAACGGTCTACTACTATCCTTATCAGAAAGGAGTAGGCCCTACTTATGGTGGGATAAAGAGTGGTGTCTGCTTGCTCTGTTGACCTCCAAGTGTACAGTCATTTGCTACATGTAGCAAGCAGGTAAGTCTGGTATATATTTGGGGGAGGCCACTTGGGAGAAATCTTCCTGTTTCCCACACAAACTGGGGTGGGTGAGGGGGACCTCTACAGAATTTTGCAAGAATAGTATATGAGTTATATGTGTATATCAGTTATGTGTATATATCATAGTGAATGAATAGTAAATGAGATTTTAAAAATAGTATCATTTTCAATAGTACCAAAATACATCAGATACCTAGAGATAAAAACGTAGGAAAATTTGTTTCGTGTTTACTTGGAGGTTTAAATATCAGAAGAGTATTTTGTGGTTGAGTTTCTAAAGAGCTGTTTTTTGTCAGTATTGAGCAATTTTCCAGTTCAATCAATCTGTTTTCTTGTAGTTGATGCTGACGTAACAGTGATAGGTTCTGGCCCTGGCGGATATGTTGCTGCTATTAAAGCCGCCCAGTTGGGGTTCAAGGTGAGTTCTGTGCTCAAACTAGATGCTCATTCATTTTTATATGGATAGTTGATCACGTTCACAAAATAATTTATAAATAAGCACAGTAAATGTTTTTTAACTCACTAGTATGTATTTAATCCTGAAACTTATGAAGATTAAGGTTTCATTTGGTTATAGTATTTTTCATGAAATGGATGATCAAATCCATTATCTTTCACAAAACGTTTAATTTTTCGATTCTGTTGATACTTTTGAAGATAGTAAGAAGACTAAAAGCTATATTTGGTAATATTAAAGAATCTGAGAAGTATGGTTTATAGAAGAATTAGGGAAATATATTTGGGATTTTAATGTACTGAAACATTGTAAGCTATGTGTAGTTAAAAAATGTCTTTTTTTGGCTCTAGACAGTTTGCATTGAGAAGAATGAAACACTTGGTGGAACATGCTTGAATGTTGGCTGTATTCCTTCTAAGGTGAGCATACGTTTTGTACCAAAAATCAGTTTTTAGTTAACTGTGGACTAGAAAAATGTGCAACTAGAAAGATGGAGAATAAATATTATACTAAGGTAATAATGTAAAATAAAATCATAAGTGATAAAAGCCGTTTTTCTTTGTAAAACTTAAAATTAGTCTCTAGTCTGCCACACATTCTGGAAATAGCTTCCTTTTCTCAGAGCCTAATCTTTCTGTTCAAACTTTGACATCTTATTTATTCTCCATAGCTTCCTTTTACCCATGAGACAGAAAACTGAGCCCAAGCCTACTGCCATCGAGTTGATTCTGACTTACAATGACCCTGTAGAACAGATTACAACAGTGCTCCCTACGGTTTCTGAGACTAACGCTTTATAGGAACAGATAGCCTCATCTTGGAGTGGCAGGTGGCTTTGAACCATGAACTTTGCAGTTACGAGCCCAATGCATGACTGCTGCAGTACCTGGCATGCTACCTGGGACAAGTGCTAGGTAGTCCGTTCTTCCTTTAGGTCACTCATGACTGTAAACAGGACTGCCCTGACGCCTGCCACTCTGAAGTGTGGGTGCCTCGTCCTCTGCTTTCGGAGGGGGTCACCATGTGCTCATTTTTCCTTCATGTTTGTTGAATACCTTTTATATAATTACTGTTTATTTTAGATTATGTACATAAGAACCAGACTGGTATATTATTCTGCATGCTATTCCACATAGTACATTGTGGAATATTTCTAAGGGCTTTTTAATTGTGTGTAAACATTTGATAATTTCACCCTTGTATTTCCTTTAGGCTTTATTAAATAATTCTCACTATTACCATTTGGCCCATGGAAAAGATTTTGCATCTAGGGGAATTGAAAGTAAGTATACTTTTCATATTTAACAATATTACCAAGAATTGTTCACTTAACTTTGTGGCTAACGACTTGGGTTTGTGTGTGTGATTTTGTTCCATGAGAGAGATGACTGGTAAAAGAATCATTTAAAAAAAAATGAAGAGTCACTTTGGAAAGAAATTAAATCTAGATCCCTACTATGGCATTTTCTGGTTTGCGGTTCGGAGCTGTGGTGGCTTAGTGGGTTACGTGTTGGGGTACTAACCACAAGGTTAGTTTGAAACCACCAGCTACTCCTCAGGAGAAAGATGCGGCTTTCTGCTCACGGGAAAGTGTTGCAATCTCAGAAACCCACAGGGGCAGTTCTACCCTGCTCTGCAGGGTCACTGCACATCAGAATTGACTCGATGGCAATGTGAGAGAGATGGTTAGACTGGTCTTTGCCTGAAAACCGTGTGTGTGTGTGTGTGTGTGTGTGTGTGTGTGTGTGTGCATGCGTTCAGTGTATAGTTCATTCAGAACCTTCGATGTTATGGGCAGATAAAATGAAGAAGGAAACTCTGCCTCACTGTCAGGGAACAGTGAGTATGGTGCGTACCTTCAGGTGAATGTCACATTAAACTAAGTGAAAGATGGGATGATGTAAGGAAAGGAAAGATGACGAGTCAAGAGACTGGCATCATAGGCAAGGCTTCTCTGTCAAGTGATGTCCGTGGGTCAGAGGCGCCCTGGCAGTGCTCTCGGGTAAGTGTTGGATACTAACTGCAAGGCCTGTGTGTGGTTCAAACCTGCCAGCCTCTCCAAGGGGGAAAGCTGAGACTCTGCTTCTGTGCAGCTTTTCAGCTTCAGAAACCCAGTATAGGCCATCGTGAGCTGGAATTGGCTCAGTGACAGAGTTTGTCTTTTGGTTTGGTCCTCGGGTAAAGTAGAAATCTCTCCGGTGATATTGGTTGCATAGACTGACTTGTAACACCCCCTTCTGTTCTTTAAAATTCTTTTTTTTTTTAATGATCATTTTATTAGGGGCTCATACA